CCCCGCCCCGGCGGGCCCTGCCTGGCGAGGGCGCGCCGGCGGCCGCGGCCGTCCGGCCGGGCATGCCCGTTGGCAGTCCAATTTCGATGGCATCTGCTAGTCGGCGGCATTCGAGTGGGGGGATCGCGCCCAGCGTGCCCCGGGATGCCCCCGGGGCCGCGGCAGATCCCTCCTCGCTTCGCCGGCCCGCCGCCCCCCTGTCCCAAGCATCCGCCCCTGCTCACCCCTCTCTGTTGATCTACGCATCTGGCTAGCTGTTGCCCCGCCCTTCTCCCCCTCCCCATCTCCCTTCTCTCTCTCTCTCTCTCGGCCCTGATTCTCCCTTTGGCCGCTGCCCCCGACACCGGATAAAAGGGCGCTGTACCCGCGGGCCCGATGCAGCCATCCAAGCAGCGCGTCGGTCTGCGCCGAAACCCGTATCGCGAGCACCGCGAAGAACAGGAGCGCAAAAAGAGGGTACGACTGGCGCCGCAGCATGTCCCTCGCCGGTGGTGGGGGCTCGCATGCACACACGCACACACGCACACACGCGCATACACACACACGCACACACGCACACACGCACACACACACACACACACACACATGCACACACACACACATGCACACACACATGTGCGCTTGCCTGGAGAAGAGCCAACAGGACGGACTGACGCCCCCGCCAACAACCGACCCAGCGCCAAGATGAAGAGGCCGCTCGGGTCCTGGCCGACTACGAGGAGCAGGGCACTCAGCCCCGCCGCGACGCCGACCAAGGCAGCACCTGGGTCCGCGGCGGGGTGATCCAGCACCGCCCAGACGGGCGACCGGCCGCCACCGCGGCCGAGCCGTCCGCCGAGGCCCTGTACCGCATGGAGGGCGAGCCGGCACACATGGATCGGCTGTCCTTCATGTCGGGCGCCGGCCCCGGGCCGGGGCCACAGCCGGCGCCGGCCGTGCCCTCGGCCAGGCCGCCGGCGCGCGAGCCGGCCACACGCCGGCCGCGCCGCGCCACCTCCGCCCTCTTCTCGGACGATTCCGACGAGTCGGACGACTCCGGCGACGACGACGCCCTGCCCGAGCGGAGGCGGGCCCCGGCGGCGCCGGCATCCGGCGGCGGGGCACGGCACCGTGCGCCCTCGGCGCCCGTCGGCTCGACCGTCTCCTCGGCCGCCTCCTCGGTCAGCAGTGCCTCCGTCTTCAGCGGCGGCGGCGGCAGCAGCAGCAGCAGCACC